AGAGAGACAGAGAGAGACAGAGAGACAGAGAGACATAGACAGAGAGAAATCTACTTGTTCCACATAAAGAATCTGCCTATTTAAATAAAACACACTTTAGCCCTTTTAGCCTTTAATACATTGTGTTTTAATTTGCAATTTTCTGAAGATTAGTTCCATTTAATAGCCTCTTTTTATAAAGTTCCAGAGGCTACCTTTGGAACATTAAAAATTCATTTGTATTTTCTTTATAGATGTAAATATTTTAATTCAAGGCCTTTGTTGAATATTCCCATGTGCATTTTACTGAAGTGACATTGTTATCATATTGTTTACTTGCTGTCACAAAAATACCACTCATGTTATTATAGCAAATAAGACAGGTGATTGCAAATAATCCTTAAAGTATGTTATCATCAAAATTTCCTTGGTTATACTACTCCTTTGTACATCCATATTATGTTGAAAAATAGCCTCTCAATTTCTGTGAAAGACTTTCACCTGTAATTTTGATTTTGTTTACATTGAATTTATAGATTATTTGAAGAAAACTAATTTATTACAACATTACATCTTACATTCCTCTATTTGTTTAAGTTTTCCTCATCTCTCCAGAGTATTCATGCTTTTTAGGGTAAAAATCTTCCTTCTCTATGTAAACTATCAAGTTAATCTATAGACTATGAAAATGTATAGTTGAACAAATATTATATGGATATTCATTAGGAGGGAAGGAAGCATGATAATTTTTTCCAGAAGACAGTATAACTGGCATTTGATAGAGTAGCATTGTTGTTTTAATTTGCATTTTATTGATTATGTAGTGTTTGGAATTTATCTTGTATAGTGTGTGTGTGTGTGTGTGTGTGTGTGTGTGTGTGTGTGTGTGTGTGTGTGTTTAGCAATGTATTTAGTTTTCCAGTAGATTCAGTTTCTGTTTTCTTTAACTGGATAACCTTTTTGTGCAGTAAACTATGATATTATAAGTAGATACTATAGATTTTCCTACCTGACAGTTATCTTAATTTTGCTTAGTACTTTTGATTTGTAGATGCTATCATCTCCTTCTTTCTATAATATTTCTTCTAATTCTGTTATATCTTTTTATAGACACAAATTTAGTTTTTCTGGATATTGTGTATAAAGTATGAGATGTGTATATAAAATATGTATTTGTAAAACAGATGCAATCAGGCAACGAAGGAACAAAATTTCTTGTCTAAAACTAGGTCAAGATTAGGGTAAATACGTATTGAGTTGAATGTGTTTGTTCCATTTGCCACAGAGAATATATGTAGAGTTTTAGAATACTTAAAGTTTATTAGAAATTGTGAATTTTTCTGGTCCAATATTTTTCTATAGCTCATTGAAAATGTAAAATATTAGATACAAACTCTAATTATTTAAAAACAGGTAAAGTTTGCCACAAAATTTACTGTGGTTCCACCTTATTTAAACCTCCCATATTTGCCCACAGTCTATTTAACACAGTGCTTAGAGCCCAATTTTTTCATTTGTCCATTGTTTTATCTTATTTTTTCCATTCATTTACTTAGCTCATAAATAAAGTCATGCACAATTATGACACATAATACAGTATGTTCACAATGGCATGGTTAAATTAAACCAATTAACATATTATATCACACATATTCATCATTTTTGTTTTGAGAGCACTTAAAGAATACTATCTCACAACTTTTAAAATATAGCATATTGTTTTCAACCATATTTATCATGCTCTCAGTAGACCTCAAGACATCACAGAGTCCATCTTAGAGCCCAATTTTAAGAGGAAGAAAGAATAGCAAAAATTTTGTGATTTTTGCTATTCTTTAGTGCAATAATAATCATGATCTTAGAGCCCAATTTTAAGAGGAAGAAAGAATAGCAAAAATTTTGTGAGAAGGTCTCAGTTCCCACCACCACTATCAACAATGCATGATTATTATTGTCAGAGGAAAATAACCAATACATTCACATCCTAATGATAGTTCTTTATTAAACTATACAAAACATAATTTTCCTCTAATAGTTTGTATTAAGAGGAAAAAGTGGATTTGCTTTTTGTGTTACTTATTGATACAAACTATACAAGTATATCTTTCAAAAACTATAATATGATCTGACAATCACCTATCAACCACATTTTGTCACCAAGCTATGATTTTATTTCCAGAGATATACATACACAATAAAATACTAGAAGTCAAATAAATTGAACAAATATAAAATTCAAATATATTTTAAACAAATTGCCAAATTATCTTCCACAAGGGGATGCCAATACATTCATGGGATTAGTGGTGTTGATTAATCAGTATTTTCCACAGCCTTGACAGCATTAGAGTAGATAAAGTCATCATTTTCCATTTATTTGATTATGACAAAAGTTGTCATTACAAGTTGACACTATTCCCTGGAATTAGTTTTAATTTTTGACTTTCTGAAGAAAATAGCCTCATTCTTGCTATTCCTGGCTGTCTGTTTACCCAGGAGTTTGAGCAACTGTTGCTAACATTTAATGGTTTTATTGTCTTTCACCATCATGCAGAGAATTATTTTAAGCAATTTTTAAAAGAATTACTTCAGTTAATTCTTACATTAATATTGTGTCTGCACTATCTCCAGTCTATGAAAGAGGCACTGGAAGTTAGGGAAAACTGGGCTAGTATCTTAGGCAAGAGAAAAAAACAGGATTTAAATTTAAGTACCTAATATTAGATCGGACAATATCTTATAGCATATTGTTTACAAAGGTATTTGACATCTGATAATTCCAATGTTATCTATGCTTAAAATTTAGATGGTAACAGCAGTGATATGCAGGAGCCATGAGAGATTAAAGAAAGCAATAAATTTGGAAAACATACATGATGGTTAGTTCATACTAAGCCTATGAAACTAACGGAGCAGTCATTGTTAGTTTACTCTCATCCAAATGTCATGTTAACTTTTCAATTTGATCATCGATATCTGCTTTACTTATTTACACTATGCCTCACAAACTATACCTAACAAAAAATGATTGTCTTACCAATTCTTGTAAATAAAATATGTCTTTGCAAAATTATCCTTAAGTCAAACTACAATCAACTATAGTAGAAGAAATTATTGCTATATCAATAAAACATTTTACTTTGGTTTTAATTTCATTATGTTCTGTTAGTATAAATCAAATTACTTGGGGAAGACTTGGTTATACACCTAGTACTAAAGCTTTATAATTTGGTTCCTATCTTTGTAATACTGCAAAGGCTCTGTGCTTGGCATACACATTTAGTAAATGGGAAGTTAGATGAGGTTTGTGCTCCTTGTCTTTGATCAGTTGAAGTATACATCAGTGTAAGTGTGGGTGAGGCTTTTTATGTGCTTGTTTTTGTGTTCTTTTGATATAGGGTCTCATTCTATAGCCCTGGGTAGCCTTGAACTTGCCCTGTGGCCAAAGTTAGCTCATGGCAATTCATCTGCTTTAGTCACATATATGCTGGTATTACAATTGTGAGACGATACACCTGGCTTAGGTATATATTTTGCATTCATAAAGGCATTAGTGTTTGTAATTTTTTTTTAAAAAATGAGTATTACTTAATGATTTCTACTGTGTTAATTTTATTTTAACATGCCATATATGTAATTTTAACATCTTGTTAAACAAATGGATCAGCAAATTGCTGTAGCACCTATTTTTAAATACCTTTGCCATTTTTAATGTTTACCTTGAGAATTGTTTGTATTTTACTTTTTATCACTTTCAGGTCTCCAGAGCTTTGCCTGAAAAACAGGGAGAACTTGAGGTTCACATAAAAGATTTTGGGCAACTTGAAGAGGAGCTAGATCACCTGCTTCTGTGGCTCTCTCCTATTAGGAATCAATTAGAAATTTATACCCAAGCAAGTCAAACTGGACCATTGGACCTAAAGGTAGGGGCCTCTAGCTTTACATTTTATTTTCTGGCAGAATGGCTCAATGGCAGCTTTGAGTTCTCACTGGGTACTTTGAATTTTATCTGTCCTTAAAGGAGAACAATGATAACATTGTTAAGTTCATCACAATGAACACATCAATCTCTGAAATGGGGTTTAGAGAGGAGACTTGAAATTGGAAGCTTGTCAGAATTCCAAATGGGGAAGTAGGAATTCTTAGCACAGGAGTGGCTTAGTGGGTTAGGTAGAAACAATTGGGGTAAAAGAAGGTTCTGGAAAAATGAACAGGGTTCTTCCTGAAGACAGAGTGCACAGACACCATGTTGTGGGCTGCTAGAGAAGAAAAATCTAATCAAGTGAAAAGGGGATCAAATCTGGAGGTAATTCTTGGTAAACTAATTTAGCAGGGTTCAGTTTTGTTTTGTTTTATCAGAAAGAATAAATATAGGGGAGAGAAGTCCCAGAATCCTTAATAAACTTTCTATACCATTATCATTGCTGCTATTGTGATAATCACTATTTCACTAGTATTTTCTACTTCTTTCAGAATGTACTAGACATGTCTTTAGTAAACTAATCACTATACCGTTATCAGCCAATTTGTTAGTATGACCCAGTTTTCATTTCTCCTTCAATTGCACTTAATTGGCATGTATTTGTAGGTATCTTACCTAAAGCTGATTCTTATGTAAAAATGTCATCCTAAACATTGAACATGTGCTTAAAAGATGGAATAAAAATAAGAGAGATTGAGAGGTTTGTTCTAACTAAATTGAGTTATATTTGCAAAGTGCACTGTTTTCCTTTTACCTTGCTTCCTCCTGGTGTTTTTATTGACCACTCTGATAGCTGTGCACTGAGAACACTTGGTACTTTTTAAGTCACAGGAAAATATCATTTCCCTAGTACAAAGCTCAGCTGTTCAGTCACTGTCATGGTCCTCAATTCAGTCTGGCAATCAAACTCATGAGGAACAATAACCTTTACCCAGTAACAAATTAAGTTAGCATTATATATATGACAAGTCACAATACAGCCTGTCCATCAACAGTATATTGGAGATGTTGAAATAGGGTTTAGATAAGGCTTCTGATGCCTGAATCACCCTACCCTTGAGTCATGCAGGCTCACAAGTGATGATTGGACAAAGGACTTCTTCAAGTCAGAGAAACCACCTGCTCTAGCATTTTTTTCAGTTAGCTAGTGCATAGTATACTCAGACATACTTAACACTGTTGCAATTACCAGTGCTACTTCTCATTGATTCTGGTCGCTTAGTTACTGAATAAACCATCCCAATAAAAAAGTACAGATACTTGGCCAAAATGTACCATAACTTGAGCCAGATTATTAATTATGCCAGATCTAGTATTTTCCTTGTCTTTGATTTCATATCACAAAGAAGAAAAGACACAAATCAATCCCTCTCAACAAGTAATCATGTTTTTGTTTTAATTTTGTAAAAGTCAGTTCATCAAAATGTGTCTTTTGAGAAAAAAGTAATAAAGTGGATACACCATGAGAGCTCTCTTCATCCATGAACCATATGTAAAAGAAAAGAAACTAAATCCCCGGAAACAAATAGATCGTGTTAACTCCACCAAAGTGACTTCAGTCTGATCTGTGCTTTCCTCATCCTGTCCCCAGTTAGTTCTCCAATACACAAAAGTCACATCAACCTTTATCAACAGCACACAGGTTTCCAACAAATAGGTCTTACAGTGTGGAGTGAAGCCACTCTTGTCAGTGTTAATGAACTTCATTATCAAAGCTACATGTCGCTACTCTCACTGCCGTGTGGTGTTTTGGTGTCATTAAATTTGCTTCCTAAAGTTTAGTTTAAATCACTGAGGGAAAAAACAGCTGCCTCTTTCCATGTAGAAAACTCATTGGTATATTCCCTGCAAACTCTGAGTGTTTGATCTTTGGTGTGGAGATTTCAAAAACCACTTAATGTTCTTCTTTCTCCTTTGGATATATCCAGGCCAAAAAGGATATATGACCATGTGTGTGCTAGTTGGAGAGCTTCTCCCAGAAACCCCCAAACCCTTGGCTTGCAATCAAGAAACTATGACCTTTGTTAGTTATAACAAATTCGTTATCCCCCTATATCTACCTTTATTTCTAATAATTATTTATTAAGATCATACCTGTTTTAGTTTTCCTTAAATTATGGATTTCATTCTTTATAGCATGTTACACACACCTCTGCTTAAAGAAATTAAATGTTTACTTTGAATTTAAAAATGATAAAATGGTATATATTTGCTGCACTTTATCCACAATAAAACATAACGTTTTTAAATGATTGGGAGAACATGACAACTTTTTAACACAGGCAATTAAGTTGCATTAAAATGAAAATAAACCACTCTGTTAAAAGTCACTGAAAAGAAAGCAGATATAAAGAAAGCTACAGCCTGGCTCCATTTCTTCAATGTAAAGAACTTTCTTTTTCTGTCTATGGTGGTCATAGATACATGATACATCAGAAGCAAAGGGCCTGGGGCTCTGCCATTCAGGTCATTCATTTTCTCTGGTCAAACTCAGAGCAAATGTTAGAAAGAAAAAGAATATGTAATGTGCTCTTTGAGCTTCAGTTTTTCCTGCTTGGCATTTCATGCTTATTGATGAAGTGCAGCAAGCTTGTAGTGAAACTCAATTTTTAAAAAAGAAGAAGAAAGGAAGGAGGAAAGAAGGAAAGGCAGGAGGGAGGAAAGCAAGGAAAAGCCTGAAGGGTTCTGTGCTAATACATTGTTTATGCTAAAGTGAAAATTGGCTGCACATCACTTGGTGTGTGCAATTTACTCCCGAAATATTCCTATTCAGGAAATCCTGCAAATAGCAGTATTTATCTTGAAAATCACCTCACAGAACCCTTAGCAAGCTGAGAAACATAATCAATGAGATCGTGATGTAGAGGGTGAAAATGAGGCATAATCACAGCCCTTTCCCATCAGTCAGCCCACAAGAAGGCATGCCTTTGAATTTTGATTTTCAAATGTACTCTCAATTTAGACATAAACTATGTTGATTTCAAATTTCACAAATGATAATTGAATGCTAAGATCCAGGGACCACTTTAGAATTTATATAAAGGGCCTTACGCTTTTAATCTTTAATGAAAGCTTTCAATAATGAGCTAGAGGTAGACTGTTTATCTGACATATAACAGACTAACTGCTGCTTTCAAAACTTTTTATTGAAATAGAAGTTAGTGGAAATGTGTAATTCCCTCCATTAAAGCTTAGTAAATGGGTTATTTCCATATGGATGACAAAGATGGTATTTCCTCCCTAAAGAATGGCTTTTTATCTGTGGTCAATAAATAAACCCAACCATATTAGAAATGTAATTGTCTATAATTTCAAATCTGCAGACCAATAGCAAAATCCTAACAAGTAACCAATACAGTAACTAAATACCCAAATCATGTATTCCCATTTTGTAGTGAGTATTGCCAAAGAAAAATAGTAATGGACAATTTAATAGACAAGAAGGACTTCATCCATAACTTGTACAATGGAAGTAAGAAATTAAACTCAATTCTGTTGAAACAAGACAGGAAAGGATTGGAAATGTGGCTCAGTTGATAAGAGTGCTTGTCTTTGCATGCATGAATTACTGCATAATAAATCAGGCATGTTAGCAAATGCCAGTAATCCTAACACTTAGGAGGTAGAACATTCTCAACTGTATTGTGAGTTTGAGACTAGCCTGAGCTGAGAGTCTGTCTCCAAAACAAAACAAACAAAAGATAAACACACCCAAACAAAACAGCCACAAAAATGTTTGGCTCTTCCAAGTGCTAGATGAGTTAGTAGAAAAGTACCTAGGGTTTCTAGGGGGATGGAGATGAAAGTAATTTGGCCATCTATGCTTCTCATTTTCATGTTTTGAAGTCATTCCCTAGCTTCCCACAAACTAGAAGATCAGGGCATAATTTCTGTAATGATTACATTTCAAAGGTTTGGTGTTTCTGGAAGATACATAGGGCAAATATTCCTGAGTCAGAACATGGGAGATTACATTTTTTTTCTCTCTTTTATTATTATTAATTCAAGTTAGGGAACAGGCTTGTTTCACATGTACTTCCCCTCTCCCTCCCTTTACCCCCATTCCTTCTCCCCCACCTCCAACCTACCCCCCACCCCATCCACCCACCACTCCCCAGGCAGGGTAGGGCCCCCAACCGGGG